TTTCCTTACCTTCCACTCCAGTAACATTTTGCTCCACTTTACTTTAGACATACATTGACATGGCCACATTTTAGACTTCAACAACTCTAAAATTACACTATTTCCAAAATCCAGCTTCTAACCTTTTGCCTCCTTTTGCTTTTCCTTTTGCCTCTCTGATTTTTTTCACATATGAAGTAGTTTAAGATAAATTCTAAGCATTCTTCTCTTTCCTTTTATCAACAATTCCAGGGGGCAGCTAGGTGGCTCCATGGATAGAGCACCGGCCCTGAAGTCAGGAGGACCTGAGTTCAAATCCGGCCTCAGACTAAACACTTCACACTTACTAGCTGTGTGACCCTGGGCAAGTCACTTAACCCCAATTGCCTAAAAAGCAAGCAAACAAACAAACAATTCCACTCCTTTCCCCCATATTTGTAGCAGCTGGTCTAGCCTTCTATCATTGAGAACACCAGGCATCTAACAGACTTCAGCTTTTCCTCCTCTGTTCCTCAACTATTCTCAACACCATTACCTTCTCTTACTTTCTTCCCTATGTTCAAATAGGAAATGCCACTACTCATTAATAATAAGCCTGCACCATTTCCCCACCCCACCCCATTCATTCCATTTCTTCAAGGACCTTGTTTAAACAGTAATCCCCTTTTCTTTTTTTATTTTAAAGCTCTCCCTAGTCACAGGAGCTTTGCTATCTGACTAAAAACATACTTATGTCTCCCCAGTGTTTAAGAAGAACAAAAAGCCTCTCCTTAAAGAAAGGGAATTAGGTAATCTAGTGAATAGAATTCTGGACTTAGAATAAGACAGGTATGAATTTAAATCCTTAACAACTTACTAGCTGTTTGACTTTGGTCCGGTCACTTTCCTTCTCTAAAAGTTTCATCATTTGTAAAGTGGGTATGATAAAAGCCCTTATCTCACAGTGCAGTGAAATTCAAATGGAATAACTTAAGGAAGTGCTTCACAAACCTTATTGTGGCACATAAATCCCAGCTATTCTTTTTTTTTTCTTTTTAACCCTTTTATGCCTTTTCTTTTTAAACTCCTTTGAAAAAGTTGTCTTCACTTGATAATGTGACCATCTTATCATTCAAAATTACCTGGATATTTTGTAATAAGTTTTGTACTTCTGCCATTGTACTAAAAAAAAATTCTCTTTAAGATTCTTAATGATTAAATTCACTCACCTTTTTTTTCAGTTCTCATCCTTCTTGACCATTATACAACTTTTGACAATTGGACCTTCATTATAGATAATTTCTTGTGCATTCACATCAGAGATACTATCTCTCCAGGTTTTCTCCTTATGACTCTGAGCACTTTGAGACTTTTGTATCACTTCTGTCTCCTTATTAACTTTATAACTTAATGGTAGTGTTCCCTTAGGGTCTCTTTTGACCTTCTTCCCTTTTTTCTCTAAACTTTCTCCTTGGAAAATTCATGCATTCCCATGGGTTAATCTCTATGTAGGTGATTCCCAAATCTAGTCTAGACCTCTCTTCCAAGCTTTAAACTTTTGTTTCTAACTATCTACAAAATGCATTTCTACCTGGATGCCTGTTTGGTACCTCAAAAATTTAACTTCTAAGACCACATTCATTAATTTTCTCCCAATATCTCTTGTGTCACTACTTCTATCTGTGCCAATATATACTTGAGTTCTCAGTTTCATAACCATAAAATCATCTTTGACTCTTTTCTTTCCTTCACCTCTATTTCATCAACTCCATCTCTGCAATATTTTCCCCATCTGTCCCTTTCCTTATGTTCCATCTGGAATGACTCTGTATGGCCTCATTAGGATTCACTTATTTCAGTAGCCTCTTCACAGATCTTTTTACCTCCACCTTCTCTCCTGTCTAATCTACCTTTAATGTCATGGACAGAATATTCTTTCTTACAGCTAGAAGGGATTGTGTCACTTCTCTGCTGAAAAATCTTCCATGACTCGCCGTTGCCTCCAGAGAACTTTACAAATTTCACTGAACTCAAGGCTGTTGATAATCTGATTTGTACTACCATGATTTTTCATCCTTAACTCACTTTACTCTTCTCTAAATATTCTATTCTTGAGAATCTGAACAAAACTCTAGCCCTTGCTAAATACAACATAATTACACTTCATTGCCTTTCTCTCAAACTGCTTACTATGACTGAAATGTCCCCCTTCCTTATCTTTGCCTAATTTTAAAGCTCAACCCAAATGCCACATCGTATAGAAAAAGCTTCCCTGATCTTCTGGATGGCACTGACTTTCTCCCTCAAACCTCACATAGCACTTTCTTTTGTCATTCTCTAACAATTTATCATGTAATATAATATTTTAACACTATCTTTTGGTGTCTCATCATTCTTTTGATTGTAAAATACTGACTGCCCCCCCCTTGGCTTAGAGTCCTACTTTCCTCTGATGGGCTCATAATTCTGAAGAGGTCTGATGTACTCGTTGTTGTGAGAACTACAGGTGCCGAGGACTATGGAGGCTCTCTGGCTGGCTCCTCTGTTCCTCTTTGCTCTCTTCTTCCATCACCTTCCCTAAGAACAACCCTCCCTATGACCCCATTTTCATGGATTGACTTTTTAAAATTGTATTCAGCTGAAATTTTTCCACAACTCTGAAAAGTAAAAGACTACATCAAAGGAAATCAGTTTTAACATGACCCACCTATACCATCCCAGGGAAAAGTCAAAGATCATTAGACATTTGTCTGGTCAGCAATCCCTGTTGATTAGCTGCCAGAATCCAGGCCTTTGTAGGTTGCATGATGCATCAGTGACAAGGTTTCCAAGAACAGACTGTGTGGAGCCCTTGCTATTACTGTGTCTGTCCTGTATGTGACAAAGGCATGTCCACAGTTCTCATTGTGGCTTAAGAATACCCTGCAATCTAGTGAAAGCATGGTTAGCTCTGTTATATCGTGGCCTACCCAGAACTACTTTAGCCTAACTCTTGCTAGTTTTTAAAGGTCAATGGAAGATGTCATAGGACTCCAAAAACCACTGGTGTCACTATTTCTAAATGCTGTGTCATTTTATCAGTATCATGTGTTAATTATTTAGACATAAATTCAACAAATGCTTCATCTTTTCCCAAGACCACTTCAGAAGACAAATCCTTGTGTATTCATGTACTTTTCAATTCTTTACAACTTAGAAATTGTTAACATACACAAAATTGAGTGTTTTGTGTATGGTACTCAACTCCCCAAACAGATTATAAGGTCCTCAAGGTCAGTAACCAGTAGTAACTAGTAATCTTGGCTTTTGGGGAAGCTTGACAAAGTGTACTCAGAGCTAGCAGAATGAAATGTGCTCTCAAATCCGATTTTAAAGACAAATATAGAAATATATGGGGTTGTAGACCCTGACAACAACTTTATGTAAGTAGGACAGAGACCCTGGAATATTCAGGCTTCTGTTAGAGAGGCTGATGGGTCTGGGGGGAGGGGAGCAGAAGTTGCAGAGAAGAGTTCACCTGGGGTACAGTCACGTAGGGGAAGAACTGTGCCATCTGGAAGCTTCTTAGTCTAATTATTCTTGCTAACTAAGTGCTTAGTTTATTTGTTTCTGTTCTGCTGAAATTATATAAATTATCAGGGTCCTCTATGTCTTTGTGCCTTGAAATGAAGTCTGGTTGCCTGCCTTTAGTTGCAACCCTGGAGTAGCTGTTTTAAGCCCATTTTTTTTTATCCCGCATGAGGCCTAGTATAAGTCTACCTATAGTAGGCTAGAAATGTTCTAGAACTAGAAATGTTCTAAAACTAGAAAACGTTAAATTGATAAGCTCTCAGAAAATTAGAATATGGACTAAACTAACAATTTTCCAAGTTCTCTCCATATCTTATCATATCTATTAGAATGTGTTAAAATTAATAAGGGGGGGTGAGGCAGAAAGTGCTGCTGCCATTTATGCAAGATGATCTCTCCCTTTTGGAGTACTTACCTTCATTCTCAAATCATTCCCGTTATAGATGTTTGGCCCATGTGGAATCCCCTTGTGTAAGTAACAATCTAAATAGTTATTAATCTCTTCATCTTTGGGATTCCTCCACTTATATTCTATCTAGACAGAAGAAGTCAGAATTTTTCTGGACTCACTTTCATTATAAGTAAAATAGGTAGTTTGGACTAAATAACCTTTAAGATTCTTCCTAGCTCTATCTATCATTCTTAAAACTGGAAAATTGATATTACATTTATAAGAAACTACAATCATTTGATCCTTTTCATTTTATTTTTATTATATGTCATACCTCAAGCTTGGAATCATTCTGATCAAATCAATCCTGGTTTCTTGGCTAATGTCACCTGTAGCATGAATGGTTGTTTGATGGATTCTTAGAAAGTCATCCATTACCTTAAAAAAAAGTCCTGTCTTAAAAACTAGAACTATTTGCTATACATCTAACTAGAGAACCTGGATTCTTCCTGAAGTAAAGTTGCATTACAAAAATCTGGTGCATGACCATGATTCTTCTTTATATAAAATCCTTTCATAATACATCTATTGTTTATGCAAGTTTCTTCTTAAATGACAGGTTCAGACAGTTCTATTTATGTGCCCCTAAAAAAAAAAATACTGAAAAAGTTTCTGTCAAGTCCTTCCTAAGGCTTCAATGTCTTAGTAGATTTTGTGGGTAACAAAACATTTTTATCTGTTTAAGTTCTACATGGAGTATTGATTTGATATTAGCAGAGTTTTCAATTTGAACATTAATGTAGATTTATTTCAGAACATATGATCACAGGTTTAGTGTAGGAAACGACCTTAGAGATTGTCTAATTCAAACCCCTCGTTTTATAGATGAGCTAGCTGAGGACCAGAGAGATGAAGACATGTACGTGTGGTCTTATTACTGAGTAGCCCCTACGTTGATATAATTGATATGTTACCATTCCCATGCCTGCAAAGAGTTGTTTAGGTCTCTTAGTGTTCATTTATGTCACCTCGTTATGATGTCCAAGCGGTCCCACCAATACTTTGGTGTTACTGTGAGCAGTTTGTAGGTGACAATACTGAATGGATGGAGACAGAAATGTCACCCTGTCAGAAGATGAATGAGCTGAGCTTGCATGATGTGAACCACGGCTGACAGAGGCAAGGAAGAATCAAAGAGTGAACAACTTTTGACAACACACGCTTCCCAGCTCTGACCACTGTGGATCTACATGATTATCTCCAGACAAAATAACTGTGAGTAAAAGGCTTACATACTCTTAAATTAAACACAGCAGGGTTTTAGTAATCTCTGTTTGCATTTTACTTTCTGTTAAGAAGGAAATTGCTTGGACTTGGAACATTTCATTTAATGGCATTTTTAGTTACCTTTTGTACTTTTAATGCCATAGTCTAAATTCACTCCAAATTACCCAGCAAGGCTTAGGAAACTTTTGTCCCTTTTTATTTATTGTTTTTTTTTTAATTGCAGTAGCTTCCTTACCAATTTTAGTAAATTAAATGTGTTTTAAAACATCTCGGTTCTTGAAACCTAATTATCCCAATCTCTGGGTGAAGTATAGCAAACAATATAAACCCCATTTATGTAATTTATTTTGCAAAGGAAAATAATGAAATGCAGTTGTGCTAATGATATACATGTTTGTATTTTTTCCCCTCCCAAATACAACTTAGCACAAATGCATCTTTTTTGAAACAAAAGCTTTGAAAGCATCTGGGGGGGTTGGTTTGGTATGTCCACATACTGCTTTTAGGAGAATGAGGTAAACTGCATAATATTATGTTCCTTCTGAATATCATGAAGTGCTTTTGTTGAGTTTTCTTCCCTTTCTAACCAACCATCATTGAGTATTATGGGCTGTCACCCACAATAAACTGTGAAAAAAGATCATGACTTGTAATTGAAATGTGTAAATAGGAAGAAAAATATGGAGGTACATTAGGAGCTGAAGTGCCATTCATTAGAGCCCAGCAGAGGGAAATGCAATGGTCAGGCTATCCAGAATCCAGAGAACTTTGGTTAAAATTCAGGTTTTCTTGGTTAAAACTCTTGTTGGGATCCTGGTTCAAGACCGTGAGGTTTTGAAAAATGAGAGTCCGCTGCAGTTTGTTTTCTTTTTCTTTTTCTAATTGTCATGATCAGATTCTATTTCTATGTTTGTAAAATGAAGGAGATTAGACTAGATGATTAGTCCCCAACCTTTTCAAGGCTGACTCTTTTTAATATAAAAAGCTTTACATTCTATTAATTCTCCAATGCATATGCCTGTTGATTACAAAATGAGCATTGACAAAAATAACTATGACTTTAATATTGTTTTTTACATGAGTTTGTATTTTATTTTTCAAAACAGTACCTAGATACATTTGAAAAGTAATTATATATGTATGTATATATTTTAAATATACACATACACACATGCACACACACATAAGTATATATATATTATATATATAAATATACTATTTCATCTAAAAGAAGATATGCTTTCTTACCTATTTGTACTTAGTTATATTGAATAAAATTTTTGGAGTCAAATGATGCAAATATTAGTGTTTGATGAACATATCTATTCACAGAGCTCTTGAGGGAAGTACAGAATAGTGGAAAGAGAACTGTCTCTGGATTCAGAGGGCTTGGGTTCAGATCCTACGTCTGAAACAATATGATTTTGAGTAAATCATTTATCCTCTTTGGACCTCATTTTCATCTGGAAAATGAGAGGGTTGGACCAGGAGACCTCTGAGAGTTCTTTCAGCTTTAGATGTTTGATGGTGTGATCCCTTCTTATAAATCAGGTCTTGGGCCAAGCCACATTTTTGGAACCTGTGAGCTAAATTACTTCAAACCCTGCAAGTGTTAAGAAAAGTCTTTATCCAATGTATTTCATCCCATTTTACCAAAGTAATTCTTTTTGATGAATCAGTTATCTAGAGTGTTCATTGTCAATTGATTGACTACAGACAAAGCCATGCCTACATGATAGTAACCTTGGCCATGGCAGCAAATTTACACTATCAGGTTGAGCAAGGTAATAACATAGGGAGGCAGTCAAAGGAAGGGGCAGGTGGTGAAAATGAGGCAATTCTTGCCTGATGGTGCTAAACAATCCTGGAAGCTATACACTGATAGATATAATGAGATTCTACCATCATTCAAGCAAAGAGTGTGGGATTCCCCCTCCTCTCTTCACACATTCCACTCAGCCTGCATGTTTTATAGCATTTTGCTGCTCCATCCCCCACTTAAGAGATGATATTGATATTCATTCCAACTTGATTTCACCTGTTCAAAAATTGTGGAGGTATAAGGCATAGGGGAAAAGCACACAATGAAATTTATTGTGGGACCACAACCTTTAATTGGTCTAAAAAGTAAACTTGAGCTAAATCATTTCAAAGTATATCTTTTCATCTTAAGAGACTCTTACCAGCTAATCTTCAATATTTTCAAAGACATTTTTCCTTTGTATTTCAGGTCCTGCTCTCATACTTTTTAACTTTTTGAGGAGAGATGCCTTGTGATTTTCACCTGCCACCTGCCAAAGAGATTCCTATAGTTGGCTCATTCCACATCTTCATTATATAAACAGTTTTGATTGCCTGGAATACATAACTTGCAACTTAATTCAATCTAACTGCTACTTTATCTAATTCAATACACTCATATTCTTTTGTATTATTGCAGAGCTTCTTTTAGTGACTTCTTCAAATATTACATAAGTTAAAAACCATTATCGGGCTGCAAGTTTTACAGTAAGAAAAATGTATGACTTTATTTAAATATAAAAAAAGGTCAAATGTGGAATCTGATGTTTGACAATGCTCTTTTAAGATCTGTGGTGAAAAGAGCAGGAAATGTGAGGTTATATCTACCATGGAAATTAAACATTACATCCATAGTACAAAATCAAAAATGGTTTGCCTATTAGCTAGTACATGTTTATTTATGCAGAACTGAGAAGATCTGAATTTCAACTTATCCTCTCAGGTTTACAGACATTTAAGCACATTATTAGGAACTGTGATTATTCGGCACACCAACACTCAGGTATCACCCAACTTCATTACTACCTGATTAATTAACCTGTTTAAAGTGTGAAAGTTGGCACCTTGTCATTAGAATCCATGGGAATAACTAATGAGAAACTATGAAATAATTTGTTCCTCAATTAAAAAACCTGAAAGAAGAGGTTTTATCTCATTATTCTTGTTTCCTGTTATCACCTATACAAAGCCAAGAAGATTTTGTGAAACTTACTGTCTAAAGAGAATTGGCTATGTAAGATCTCAGGAAACATTTCACAGGTCTTTAATAAAATGTGGTGTTATTCAACACCAATAGGTAAGCCAAGAAGGTTCCTAGGATAATATATTCATTATAGAGCATCAATTGAAATGCTAGTCCTTTCATGTGATACCTGGGTTAGGGCTTCTAGGAGGCTGCAGCACAAGAAATGGTGGAAGAAAGAGAATCTTCACTAAATTTAGGTCTGTCTAAAAAAGACTCAGAAATATCACTAGTGATAATTAGTATTAAATGATGATTGAATTTTGACTTATTTCCATACATTAAAAAATGTAACCTCAAATGAAAAATTCCCTTGAAGTGACAGACTTAATGTAGTTGTAACATTCTGTTATTACTCCAATAAGGCAAAAAATCGTCAGTGATATTAACCTCAAGCTTTTTTTCAGTTGTCCAAATTAGTGAGGTCAGAAGAATGATATGATATTTGGAAGGAATATCAACTGAGATTTTTGCAAGTGGGTCTATTTCTAAGTCTTAAATATTCTCTTTCAGTCATTCTTAGAATTCACCTTTATCAATGGTGGAAAAAATTTTGGATTTTAATTAATTATTTTTTTCTTTTTCTTTTTTGCTGAACACAAAGGTAAAGAAGTCAAAAGTCATACTTCAAGGTAAAGTAAATATAATATTACATCACTTATTATTTTATATAAAACTTTCCTGTGAGTAAGATTGCTTTGAACTATATTAGGACATGGCTTACTGAATCCATCCAATGTTAAATTAGACATAAATGAAGGCAGATGGTAATTAGTTGTATATCCCTACATTAATTAAAAAAAAATCCTAGATCATGGCTCTTATTTCCCTGAGTAAACTTTTAAGCACAGGTCACCTTGTTTTAATGAAAGAAATGCCTAAGTTTATAGATCCTATGAACTTGCTTCCAAAATCAAGATGTCATAATGATAGTCTCAGAAGGTCAGAATGGCAACACTTCACTAATCCACTTGAATAAAAGATGTCATAACAGTTTTAGCTTTAGACTCAATGACACCCCCCACCAAAAAAAAGTCCTTTGAAAGGAAGAGGTACATGCATCATCTGTAACCTGGATAGAAATTCAAATGCAAAGAATGCATATGTAGTAGTTGATCCCATACTTACTACCAAAGAAGAGTGGAATACATTAAATAAAATGTAATTTAAAAGTATATTAGTTCTGTAATATATAATATTAGGTAATCAGCTTCACAGAAGTGAGAAGAAAATTTAGAGGTATGGAATAGTTTTAATTGGGTCAGTTTCAACAATACAATATGTGAATTTGTAAGGCAAACTAAGATACTTAATACAACTCAACTATGTTTTTTTGAGTATGATGTTGTTCCACACTATTGGAAGTAGTAAGGCAGTGACTGGAGGACCTGTAATAATATTTACTTGTGATAATATAGACAGGATCAGTGTTTCAGGTATGGTTTACGCTTATATGAATTCTAAGATTCATTCCATTTGTAAGATTCTAGTTTTCTATTGACAGATAATATAATGAATTACCAACTAAAGTTGCTACATAAAACCTTCCACAAGCAGAAAAATACAGCTCTATTTATCTAAGTAAATATACATGTTATCTTTATAGTTAGAAATTATAGGTTATAAAATATTAGTCATGTGAATGTTTAATCATAAAAATAATTTAACTGTATAGGAAACATAGAAGAACTGTGAAATTATTTTTAAAAAGGTATCTACTAATAAAAAAGAACAAAAAAGTGAAGATGGAATACAGTCAGGGCAACTTTCTTAGCTTTTTGGTGTAAAATAACATATTTAAAACTTTATAGCCATGCTAAATTTGGGAGAAACATTTTTTTTCAAATCTATATTATTTCAAAGTAAAAGACATCAATATTTCTAAGTGGCATAGTAGATAAAGCACTGGGCTTGGAATAAGGAAGACTCATCCTCTTGAGTTCCAATCCAGCCTCAGACACTTACTAGTTGTGTGACCCTAGACAAATCACTTAACCCTGTTTGCTGTAGCTCTCCTCTTTAAAGTGAGCTGGAGAAGATAGCAAGCCATTCTAGTATCTTTGCCAAGAAAACCCCAAATAGGATCACAAAGAGTTAGGCATGACTGAAACGACTCAACAAAATTTCAACTGGTACAGTAAACTTTAAAATGTGGGAAGTACTAAAGATTTTGAAAGAGGTAGGTAACATGAACAATTAAACTTGGAGTATTATGGATGATAAGAGAAAATTCTTAAATTCAGTAATGAACTTGAGGCTCTATAATTGTGAGCAATAAGAAGGGAGAGGATGAAAAATCCCCACCCCCACCCCCAGAGCTTAATAGAGCAACAGAACAATTCAGCCTATAGATGAAGCATGCATCCTGGACAAATGCATCAGGGACAAATCAATTAGGAATACGTAAAGTACACATTGAGGAGAATGTGTTCAAACAATAGCCATCATTAGAATTTACTCTTCTTCAATATTAAACATTTCATATTTATATGTTCTAGACCTTATCTAACATGTAATAGACACCCAAATATTTAGCATAAATTCCTACATGTGTTTTGTGCAATTAATCCTCAGATGGTGACCAACATCAACAGAAAAAATATGCAATATATGTAGATAAAAATATAAAAATATATGTGTGTGGTTTAGATAAACTGTCTACATACACACATACATATATGTATATAACAGACTATATATAGAAAAATGATAGATACATCTATGATAGATATACAGAGATAGATTTGTGTATAGATAAGTATGTATAGAGAAAGAGAGAGGGGGGAAAGAGAGAGAGTCAGGGACAGGGAGAGGGGCAGTGAGCTATAGTAGACAAAAGTCTAGCTTTGCAATGAGGAAGATAGGTTCATTTCTTGCCTTTGAAACATGCTGCTGCCTGGGAAGTTATGGATGAGTCACTTTATTTCTATGAGATACCTTCTCCCTCCCCTGGGAGCTAAGATTCTAAGGTAAAGAGAAGTTGTTGATTTGAAATAAGAGACAGGATTGTAGGAGCTTCTTCACAAGGCTGGAGATGTCTGTGTGTATATATATATATATATATATATATATATATATATATATATATATATATATATATATATATATATATATATATATATATATATATATATATATATATATATATATATATATATATATATATATATATATATATATCTCTGTGTGTGTGTGTGTGTGTACCTATGTACGCAATATGCACATGATAGATATAAGGTGAACCTTATATCTTAATATTGAATTTGGTCTCTATGTTCATAGAGATATAGTAAAGGAAGATTGCCAGAGTCAGAGTGATTTTGTAGGCTGTAACATTGTAGAACTATTGGTGTTACTTGTATCCATCTCTGTCCTGAGAAGAAGTATTACTATTGCTTAATCTTATCTTTAGCATAAAGCTGAAGGGAGTCTATTATGTGACTAATTTTCTTTGTTTTCTCCAGGGGGTTACCTTCTCCAGCATAGAAAAGAAGTAAGACAGACCAAAAACATAAAATAGCTCTCCCACTCATCAGTCCCAGTTACCTGATGCATCTATCATGCCTTGCTTCCCTCTCTTCCAGTTCCTGTCATGCCCCTCCTCTCGTACCTTTTGAGGCTCTGGGCTGGGATAGTGTATCAACAGGGCCCACCTCTCTTTCCTTCATTACTGTGGCTCTTTTCATAAATATAACTCATGCCATCCCTCACACGTTCTGATCAGCCAGATTAGGCTGAATTGGAAGCCATGGATGTGAAGGTAAAACTTTCCCAAACTATTCTTAAGAGTAGTCCCACTCCCCCTAACCTGAAAGCAATAACTAAGTGGTATGGAAGATTTTTTTTTTCTGTGGGGACAATTACTGTAACATTCCCTTTATGTATTTGTCCAAGAGACCTATCCATTGATACCAAAAACTCAATGTAAGAAATGGAAATATAGGAATAGAAACTTGTCATGCAATTATTTAACAGTATCAATTAAGTCTTCTTTCTAAATGGGAGCTTTTAAAGAAGAATTCCCTATATTTTCATTTTCCTTAGTTAAAGAAAATAAATGCATTTTATTTTAATGAAGTAGGAGTATTGTAGAGGCAAGTGTCTTGAGTGAATATATTCAGCAGGACTTCAATACTGAAAGAAATATAATTATCAAATTCTGCCTTAAATCTATCTGGACAACATCAACTTCATATTATTTCAGAATGATCACTTTTGAGCTTTTCCCAGTAATGCTTTCCCCTATACACGCGTACGTACACACACACACACACACACACACACACACACACACACACACACATATATACACAAACACCTTTACCTCTAATATTACCTTTCACCTACTCTGCATATATCTGGTACATACTTGGTTATCTACCTATTGTCCTCCCCAGTAGAATATAAGTTCCTTAAAAGCGTGAATTGATTTTT